GGGAGGTCCCCGGGTCCTCCCTTGTCCTGGAGGGAGACCCTCCACCTCCCAGAGGAGAAGGGCCTGGCAGTAGGAGTCTTATCTCCTGCTCACAGTCCCTGATGGCATGCAGTATCTGGACTGCGGCCTGGAGCTCCTCCAGCTGGCACTCCAGAAACCCCAGTAGGGAGCAGACCCCACAAGGGGAGGTGGCCATGCTTCTGGGCCCCAGAGCCTGAAAAAGAGACAGGCAGCCCCTGCAGCCGAGAGCCAGGGGCTCTGTCTGTGTGAAGCCCAGAACCATGGGCTCTGTCTGGGTGGCTGTCTCTGAGGTGCCAGAAGGGGGTGCTGCAAACCCCAAGGGTGCAGCGCATGCCCATCCGGGTCATGCCACTGGTGGGCTGGCTACGGCTGGGACTGTCTGCTCTGGGGGACTCACAGGCAGGGCCTCGGGCCCTCCCGCTCGCTCTCCTGCGCAAACTCCCGCGCTAACTCTCGCACCGGGCTCAGGAGCTTTCCATTAGTAAGTGTGCTGTTTATACAAAGGGTATAGATATTGCATCGTGCCACAAATAAGGCCAGATTCAGGCATACATTCAGGATCAAAGTCAAGAACAGTGCTACCAAGAATACCCAGTCTCCAGTTCCCATCGACCATAACTTGGAGACAAAGCATTCCTTGTGTCATGATAAGGCAGGTGTAGGGAGATAGTTGGTTCCAAAGTATATGTGCTTTATAAACAATGCTTTGCATTTCACCTAGAAAGTGAATTGACAGCCAATGCAAAGTACAGAGCATCAGATAACATGCTACACTTGGCCTGCTTTTCCTAAAATGTTAGCAATTAAATGAAGCTAGGATTTCCAAACAGTCTTTAAGGTTGGCCCCAGGCAGGACAAATATGTTCTTATAACTGCAGTATATTCTGTTCCCAGTGGTACAGGCATTTCATTTATTTTTTTTCCACCTAATCTTAAATGTGTAGGTGTGTGCTCTGATCTTCATTACTGTTTAGCTTTTTGTGATGGAGAGAATTGCCTTCGATCGTGGAACTTGGCTTCCAAGATCAACGACCAGTCTTTGACTGTTACTGCAAACAAGCCAAAGAAAATCAGTGGAATTCAGGATATTGTAACTATACAGAACTATCCCAGGCAAGTGCAGAAAAAAGACTGTTCTTTCATTTAGAGAACTCTTCCCTGTTTCAGAGCTGTCAGGCAGCATTTCAGGCAAGATGTTAGATTTGGGAAACCACTGGTAAAGTCTTTCAAAGGAGATGTTTCTCCACTCTTTTCCTTGTAAACTGTGTGCTACTTTGGGAGTGATTCTATAAATCATTTATGTTAAACAAACTGATTTAAATTGCACACTGCTTGAGGCAGAGACCTTTTGTACATGTATTACCCTATTGAATACACTGCCAGTGTTTGTTTTAAAATGGTCAATCCAAAAGTGCTTTCCACTCTGAATTTTTACAAATAGGCATAACACAATACCTTCATAAGGCACAGTGATTTGCTCTTACTGGTTTTAACTGCTTGCAACATATTCTTATCTAACAAATGGCCATGGCCTAGGGTATTGTCTCTAGATCTGCTTTTAGTGGCAGTATTAGTAGCCTTGACAAGGCCTGAATGGGCACAGAAACCTGCTGCTCTCTGTGCTCTCTCTATTCTGTGGATAAATTAAACTTCAGAACCCAAGGCTGACTCCAACAGTTTTCATGAGCATAACCAAAGCCTCTTGAAAAAGAAAAAACCCAACATTTACATATTTTAAAATCTTAAGGAAGGTACCATATTAACTTGAATACAAGATGAGGTTTTTTTTCCCCTTGTCTTACATTCATCTACATGGAAACCTCACTAAATACATTGTCTGTAATTTCCAGTGAGTTCTGTTTCTTCACCAGTCTTAAATGTCTGGCAAACATCACCAAATGGGGCCTGAAATATTCACCCAGAATCCCCCCATTGTCCCCTCTCAGCCTACTGCATATGATTAGTGTCCATGAAGTGGAGCTGGACCACATTACCCTACACCTTATCTACATATAATTTTTTGGAGTATCCCAGGACTCATAACAAGAACACCCAGTTCCAGCCATGAGTGGGGGAAAAATTAGCATGTGGATCCTTTTTTGGGAAGTATCTGGAGTACACACACACACTGAATATTGTTGAGGTATGCGGTCACCAAATGCTGTTGTTTCTACTGGGCCCAACCCAATGAACTATATGGTAAATCATGAGCATTTTTGGCTTTGGACTAATATGATACATAAGGGGCATGTCTAAAAGTGCAGTAGACTAATTCTACTGTGCATTACTATGTTATGGTAAATGCTGTGTTAATACACAGGAGAATTAGTCTACTGTGCATTAGCATCATGTAAAAACATGCGCTAATGCTACTGCGCAGTAGTGCCAATTACAGCGCATTAAGTTAGTACCTGTTATTACAGGTACTAAATGTGCTATTATTATGGTGCATTAATGCACATGTAGACATACCCAGTTCATACTATATATAAGTAAGTACAAAAGTGCTGCTTAAAAGTGTGTTTATGGAATGCCTGTAGTAAAACTTGCAGCATTTGCAAAAAAAGGTATGGTGCACCATGTCTGTATGAATTAAGTTTATAGGTAGTATATGCAAATTACTACAGGCCTGGTTTTTTTGAGATTAGTGTTTTCAGATTTGCTCTTCATTTCCATGTACTCAGTGAGAGCAGGGTCTGACAGTAAGGAGTGGGGAAGGGGCTGCAGGAGGGAGAAGTTGGGGGAGGGGCAGAGGGCAGGGGGGCTCCTGACCTCCCCAGATTTATTTTCCCTGCTGTAGCAGTAGGAGGAGGACAAATTCAAAGCAAATCCCCAATAATTAGATTCTATACCTGGACAATTATAACATGTATAAGTTATCCATATATAAAGTCTAATTATTGGTGGTGGGGGGTCATCTTATATTCAGGGTCATTTTGTATTCAAGTAAATACACTATTTACTTTCTTCCCAAAGAGTGCAGGATCAACTCCTCACCAAAGATCTAAAAGGACATGGAAAGACCAATGTTATGTACCAAGGGAGTAACCTATTTCAAAGGCCTACCAAAAATGGAGCTGCTGATCAATCTCATTTTCTGATGCTCTCCTGATGAGCCTGACAAAAGAACCTGAATGTTATCTTGAATGTTATATAGAGGTGTTATTAAGACTCAGCTGCACCAAACATGATTTCAACTGTGATCTGAGATGACTGCCCAGATTTTCCACGAGTTCTCATTTGGTCCCTGTGTCAGCTTTTTCTATACAGACTGCCGGCTGTTAAGAATGATTATGATTTACAGAGAAGCCCATCATGTTAGACTGCATGTAGCAACATGCTGAGCCACAACTTTTGAAAAATTAAATTGTACTTCATAATGCACCAAAAAGAAGAAAAATTAAGATTTAGAAACTTACTAAAAAAATATCTGAAGTGAGATCTGTATTTTTATTAACCAAAAAGAGCCAGGATTTCAGCTCTGGGAACTATCTGCTATGTGTTTTTGCTTGAAAAGACTGAAATGTTGGTAAGGTGATAGTGAATGGTGTTCTTTTGGTTTTGAAGGTATGTTGTATGCAGAAATCTGAGTCCTGGAGCCATTACAGTGTGGAACATAGTGAAATCGAAGTGCAAAGGCAGTGCAGTAAGAGTGGAGAGAGGGCTGGTGGAGAACACAGACATTGTGCTGGTTAGAGATATGAAACTCTTTGTCCTGACAGACAAGGGGATGGCTCCCTTTACAGACCCTCCACTATCCATTTTTCAGGTACTAAACACAGCTTTATTCAAATTTTGTGAGCACGTGCATGTGCATTCACATGTGTTTTAAGTTACTTACTAACTTGGTGCCCAACCTTTTAGTCCCACAGGCCAGATGGGTAGTGCCAAGCCCATCCGCAGGCTGGATCTGGCGTGCAGGGCAGGGATGCCCAGGGTCCGATTCCACCACATGGTAGCAGCTTGACCCAGGCCTGATTCAGCAATGCAGGGCTTGAAAGTCTGGCTGTGGGGGAAGAGTGGCCAAATTTCCCAACCTGTGGGGAGTCATGCAGGTCAGATGCTCTGGCTCTGCGGGCTGGCTTTGCCTCACAGATGAGGGGTTGAACACCCCCTGCACTGAACTTGAAGCTAACAAGTAAGAGATGCTTACTGATATTATTCATTATACAAAGCAAATAGCTTGGTTTCCTTTATGATTCTCCAGACCCTTCTTATTTATGACCTTCTGAAAAAGAAATACGTAAAGAAACAGACAGGCCTTTACATCATTCCTTGCCAAAATCACGAGTACAAGATTCTTGAGGGAGAACTGTTACTTGGCCTCTCTGAGAATAGGTAAGAAGTTATTTTGGTTTCTAGAAAGGTGGTACAAAAAGCTTCACATGTCTCAGTTAACCCAGATTGTATAGTCATGATATGTTCAGTTAACTAAATGCGAGTAGAAGGCTTGTTGGTATCATAATTCAGCCAACTCTTTCTTTTTGTAAGTGATAATGATTAAATATTTTCATTAGTGTGTGGCCCCAATTCATTTTCTCCTAAAAGCCATCAAATCCTTAAGAGTTATAGAAGTAAATATGATAGACCAATTTCTGTCCTTAATTAAATCCACAATATCTCATTGCCATCAGTGAGATAGCTTGGGTTTATCTGGCAGCAGTACTTGGCCCTCTTATTTGGCTGTTTTTTTCCACTGATTTTAAAAACTTTTTTTTTTAAATGGGAAACGTCCTGCTCTTAGAAACTTAAGGCTAACAGTGTGTTATGGTTAACTACTCCCCCACCTTACTGGCTTGAGAGAAGCAAGAAAGATTGGAGGTTTATGGTTCCTTAAGCTAAATCTCTCATTTGTGCAACAAAACTGGCTAAAATGGCTTTCTAGAAGAAAAAGAGCTAATGTTGAGCCTTACCAGAAAAATAGGTGTAGCAGAACAAAACCAGCAAATCAATCAAAATAGAGGTTGTGGGAACTATAAAGAGAGTCAGGGTGATCTCCAGGCCGTCCTGGTAACACAAGCAGAAAACATGACATCCCTAATTTGATATTACTTTAAAATGCCACCTGTTTGTGTAGGGTACATGCCTCTAAATAAAACTAAAGACTGAACATGAACAGGGCAGAGAGGTATAATGTCAACTTCTGTGCACTCACCTGGCTGAGCACGGTGTCTCTAGACCAGTGGTTCTCAACCTTTTTAGATCCAAGACACCCCTGACAAAATGTCAGCTCTTAGCTTTCACTCATCTTTTGACTACAGAGAAATAATAGAGCACTTCTTCTGTTGCAGAGAGCTCAAAAAGACCACAACAGGTCAGAATGTTTTTAATACTATGGATTTCCATTTGAAATCACTTGAGTTAATCTTATGAATCATGTCTGTGCATGTGACAGTGCTAACATTGCATGGCAAACTGCAGCACCCTTGAAAGGCTCTCAAGGCATCCTAGTTGAGAATCACTGCTCTAAACTTTGTGCGGCTTGAGAGGATGGTTTGGAAAAGCTCTGTTGTTACTAATCCCAATGCAGTATGGTTCATGTGAGGTCAGAGTATATTCCTATCTGTTCAGAGACCATATGATCATTTGGAACTTGGAAAGTGGATTTATAAAGGAGCGGATAAGGCCAGAGTATCAAGACAAGCCTCCCTTGCAAACCACTCTGCCTGGCCAGCTTGTGTCAAAGGATGCTGTGGACCTATACAAGGATATGCTGCTCAAAAGGGAAAGAGGAAAGGGAGCCACAGGTAAGCAATGCCTCATTTTCACTTAATTAAGGCTCTAGTGCCACAAATGAAATGGTGTTGTCCAGAGGAGTGGAGTCATATGTTTGAGAATGAAATGGAGGCGATTCAAATGAAATAAAGACACAATACCACATAACTTTCAGGTGACAATGTTGTGTTTTGGCTCATACCTGTAAGGCCAAACTGCCTATCCTGTGCCTTGGAACAGAAAACTGGAGAGGAAGCAAAAAGCCTCCAGAACTTTCTGTGCAAAAGAAGTGGCTTCCTCCAAGAACTACTAGCACTAATTGCCCCAAGGGAGGTGTGAAGCCGCAGCTATGGCTATTTTATAGTAGACAGTCACAGATTCATGTTGCACCATGCTCCACAGTGGTTCAGCATTAGTTGTCCTCAATAACTCCCAATGCAACACCAGTCAAAACTCCTCTTAGCATGGCGTGGGGCTCAGCCCTACCCTCAGTGTCACTTAAGGGTACCATTTGGCTCTTACATTATTTGAATGCAATTTGTGTCATGTGGTTTAATACTGGAGCAAGTCTCAGACTTCAGCTAGGTATGAAAAATACATTTTGTTACATAGCTATAGATATGATTCACAAGAATTTCTCATCAATACTATAATAGTTTGTGTATGTATGATATGCCCAAATGAAAATCTTGTTAAGCTTAGCATCAGTAAATAGGAACTGCTGCTTGTTATTCATTGTGATGAGTTTGAAACTTGACAACCTGTTCAAAATTAATTTGTCTGGATCTTCATGCATGGAAACCTGTGTGGACTCTTTTAATGTCCCTGATATATCTACATGTGCCTGCAGACTTCCTATGAGAAACCCAAGATAGAGAAGCCAGAGGTGTTATCTAAAGGACTTTTATGCGTCTCAAGGAAAAATTCTCAAGGCTCATCATCCTGTTAGACAGTGTCTCTATTAGCTCCTCTGGGAAGCTCTAGAGTTGACATTGATTAAACTAAACAAGGTGGACTCCCTGTACAGGCACTCTCTGGATCCTAATGGGGCTCTTTTCATCATTTAGGTCATTTAGATATCTTGGTTTTATTTCTGTTTACAGAATACAGTGTTGTTTTCTTGGCTAATTATTCGTCATTCTATTGGGGAATATATTTTGAAGTGCCTACATATCTCCAACTTGCTCTCTCAATCAAACCATCTTTTATCATGAGAACAGAAGTGGCACCATAACATCCTCAACTTCGCTGTTTTGACTTCTGAGTAAATGCAGGATAATCTTGAATTCACCACAGCTAACGTACAGTAGTTACTGATGACCAAAGGAGTAACATCCATTTGAAATACAGCAGAGATGAAGGAGAATGGGCCAGAATAACCTTAAGGCTTTTGTCCATAGTGATTCCCAATTATTATGCTGTGCTGCTTCCCCACATGGAATTTTGTTCAGTGATGTGGCCAGCAGATAGATTCAGACTGCTGCCCGACAATCTTTCTTATAAAGATTTTTCTACAGTAGCCCTAGCCCTGTTCTTCACATCAACTTTGTTTTAGTACTTCAGGCCCCCCAGGGAAGGCATGATAAGAGTAAGAAAGGAAAGAAAAGGAGGTCAGACAAAAATGTAAGAGAGGACCCTGGAAAGCTACAGCAGCTTGCAAATGAGAAATATAATGCTATTGATGAGTACCTGCTCAGTGGAGATGAAAAGGTGAGGATTGGAACAATGACATTAGTATACATGCAATGACATGTACATATGTAATGATAAAACTTTGCATTTTTATGTGGTACCTTTCATCTGAAACTCTCAAAGTGTTTTAATTTAAGGGTGCGCTAATTAAGCCTGTTTGGTAATTACACTTCAGGCCTAAACATGCTGAAGCTTTTTTGCATTTTTGCAAGTAGCTTTCTTTACTTGAGTAGCTCTTACATCTGTAAAAGTGGTTGTAGGATTGAAATTAGGACTGTAAAGTCCTTGAACTGGAACTGAACCTTTAATTCATCTAGTAAGTACACTGCAGACACTAGAATTCAGATAATGTATTTTGCTATCATGCTAATTAATACAAATAGCATTACTTGATGTAGCAAAAAGTATTTCATCATTTGATATGATAAAGTTGTTTAGCAACACAATAGAAAATTAATAAATATACTATTATTCTTAAACCCCAGGATTTTATTCTGGTTACTAATATATGCATTTGGTAAGGCCCATGACAATTTCACAACCATTTGAACTTACTATCTTTGTCTCCCTTTATTTTTTCTTGGACTCCCCTTTTACCTTGTCATTGTTTCATTGGTTCTGTCATGATCAGTTCCACAGGAATAGCCTGACATAAACAAGTGTTTCAGAAAAGAGCCTAATAATGTTAATAACTAAGCAAAATATCCATTTTGCATAGGGCTGTGGGATGTCCCTTGGTTTTTAATATTTAAATACAATGATAATTATTTTTTTTTTAAGTGGCAGCCATATTCTTCATCAGAGCAAGGTTTTTAATTGTAAGCAGGGTATATTACAATTGTAGCTAAAACGTAGAGAATTATAGTTAAAATTCTTTTTTTTTTAAGTCTGTAAAGTATCCAGGATATTAATTAGTAAGCCCTGCTGTTTTGCCGCTGTGCTGTTAGTGGTTTATAATGAGCAGGATCACACTGGTTTACTGTTCCCAGGCCTGCCTAATGTGCCATTGTGAAAGGATTTGGTTTGATTTCTCAGTCATTTCAGGATTGAGCAAATAGCGAAACCAATTAGCATCCTCTTTAGAGAAGCTGGTCACTACAATAAGTCTATATGTGGAGCTCTATGGGAAACTAGTTGCAGAAAACTGCTGAGAGTCATTTAAACAATGTTATAGAGTTCATTTTTTTTTTTTTATTTTAACTACTACTACTACCACCCACTCAAAAGGGGAAAAATGTGCTAAGAATATTTCTAAAGAAACAACATTTCTCCAAAAGTATCCATTTCATAGTCTATTTTGGTGAAAACCAAGTAAAGTTTAAAAAAGAAACAAGGATTGTAACAAGTCTGAATACAGATAGGTATTTAAACATGTGACTGAAATTTCAGAGATGTTTCTTCTCCCAGGTAATAGTGTGTTCGTATTATGCACACCACCTTTCTGTGTTCAGTTTGAAAACCCTGTCCCACCTCCATACACTTGAAAGTAGAACATCCATGCTCTTCTTGCACAATGCCGCTTTGACCTATACTGGCAACTACCTGGTGCTTTCCAACTACAGTGATGAGGAGAAAATCAGCTATATCACATTGTGGGATTTACAAACTGGAAAGGTAACATGGTTTCTGACAGCTTTCAGTAGTTTATTCCATAAAAGACTGTAAAAGCAACACTCTATATTGTCAAATACAAAGCAGAACTTCTGTGTTTACTTAAAACCAAGATGAGGGTTTTTTCCTCTAATCAGAATGGGGTGGGTGTGTGTCAGGGGGAGCTCCATCTTGGATTCAAGTACTAGCCAGGGCCAGAATGGCTCATTTGGCAGGGAAAGGGGCATGCAGCCCCTGGAGGAGACAGTGGGGATGGGGGAACTTGCAGCTTGCCTTCCCACTCCTTGCCCCTGTGCCTATGCCTGCCACCTACCCCCTGCTCTTCCCCACTGCCTGCCCCTTTTCTGCTTACCTTCTGCTCTGGCTCTGGTCCTTCCAGCCCCAACCTGGCCTGGCAGAGCTGATGCTACTTCTGGTTGGGCAGGGCTAGGGCTGAGACTGGGACTGGGACGCTGCTGCTGACTGCCCCAGAACTGAAGCAGAGCTGCAGAAAGAGTAAGGGTGAAGGGGTAGCCAGGGAGCTGGGGGCAAGCACAGGGAAGTCGGACAGACACAGGGGCATGGGGAGACAAGGGGTGGGGAAAGCAGGCTTTGGAGGCAAGAAGCATGGGGGCAAGGGCAGGTACAGGCACAGGGGCAAGGGGTAGGTGATGGGAGGCAGGCGAGCAAGAAGCAGGGGTCTGGCCTCTTGCCATCCACCTCTGGTTTCCCTACCAGAGGGGTACAAATTTAAGATGACCTTCCATTAAGCAGATTCAGTACATGGAAAATTGTAACAGTTATAATTTTCCATATATAGAATCTAATAACTGGGGGGCCACCTTGAATTTTGGTAAACATGGTATTTGTGAATGTTTGAATTATGCAACTCTTCAATGATCTTCAGAGCAAGGATTAGTTTTTGAGATTCACCCAAACTATTGCTAAACATGAACAGATTCCACTTTGCCAGCTTCTTTATGAACAATTTGCAAACAAGAAGAGATAAAACTTTTTGCATGAAACAAATTATTTTCTGAGAATGTTAGAACAGTTAAAGTCTGATGTATAGTATTTTGATCTATTCTGACAACCTGCTTAAAATACTTCAGTGTACATCTGAGAGAAAGAGGATTGTACTAAATCATGTAAAATGAAATATTCCTTACTGGACAGCTTTTTTCATATTGTATTCTTGCAAGTACTCATTAGAAACATACGACTTACAACTACAGTAAAACAAGTAGCACTGTTTAAGGAACAGCTACTAAAAATAATTTCTTCCCCCTAAATTTGTAGGTTAAAAAGAGATTAAAAAATGAGCCAAATGTGTGCTGTGTGGCCATTACAGATGATGCCAGTCGGATTGTTTTTGGTGTCATGGTGGAAAACAGGTAAAAGATGTTCCTGAACATATCATGGTTTCTTTATACCTGCAGTACAGTTATAGGCCTGGTTCTCTCCTACACCATGATGTTCAGGAGAAAGGGACTGAGACAGCCCTGCTTCTATTTCCCAGTCTACCTGGACTGATGCTAGTCAAAGAATCCAGCAGAACACCAATGGGGAATAAGTAGATTTTAGGTCTGGATCTTGCATGTCTGGAATAACTGCTTTAAATTGTATTTGCAAAATTCTGCCTTTCCCACACCACTTAAACCAAATTAGTAAGAACTAAAATACCTTCTATAGTAAAAATTATGGTGAACATATGGCAGATACTGGAATATATTTTCAAGATGAAAAAGAGAATTTCTGGAAATTCTGCTCAGATTTTCAGATCATCAGAATAAGCCAGTGTCCTAAACAGGAGATTAGCAAGAGGTTTGCCACTTGTCAAGAATGAGTTGGGTGTTTTGTTGGGAATCATATATAACATCATTAAAGGGTCAAATTTTAAGCTGAAAAATATTTCAATTCTTGAGGCAGATGTTTTCATCACATCTGTGCTTTCTTTACAATGCATCTAAAGTGAATATCTACCAACCTAAAAGCTTTACAGATATTCCCAGGTAGAGTAGATAGTAATTATTCTGCTTTAGAAAAACCTGAAAGTCTTCAGTGACAAATTCAGCATGGTGAAACTAAGGGCACAGACAGAAGTTACGTTTGTCACATGATCAGCTCCCTGAATGTGCTCTACAGCTGTACTGTAACATGTGCGTGGCTGCAGAGCACTTTAAAAGTGGCTGATGGCGTGACAAATTAACCCTCAAGTGAGGCATTAGATGAAGATGCTCTAAATTTGGAGTGCCATAGGGAACTTCTGTTTCCTAGGGTCAATCTGTTATGTAATCAGGGCTGGGCTGCCTCAGCCTGGCCATGCTCTGCCCTCAGTGCTGTCTGCAGGAAGGGAGAGGGGAGGGGGAGTGATTTGTGGGCTGGAGTTTGCCCAGCCTGAGCTTGGGGGTGTGGATTAGAGCCTCCACACCTTGTATGCCCCCAGACTGCCTCCTCCAGCTCAAGCCAGGTAAACCCCAGCCAGCAGCTCACTCCCCCTTCTTTTTTCCCCACTCCCTACCTGCAGACAGCACCGGGGGCAGGAGGAGGAGCAGCGCTAAGGGAGACAGGCTGCAGGCAGGTCCCATCAGCTCCAGAGTGGAGCTTGATTGATCCCTCCCCCTGACCCAACAGGTTACCATCCATTTGGGGGTGGGGAAACTAACTCATGGCACTTTATGTGAAGCACCATGAGTTAGAGTGTAGGCCTGCATGTCTGTCCATGCCCTAATGTACTTTCACTATCTAGCCACAGGGTGCATGTCTACACATGCAATTAATGGAACTGGATAAACTGTTGAGCAATGTGCATCTAGGACAACAGCAAATTGAGCTGGGAAGGAGCAGTTTAGGCAAAGACCTCTCCTACCCTACTCTGCCCCCCTGCAGCAGCCAGGGGGAGCTCCAGACTCCAGCATGGAGGTCTGCCATGGGCTCAAACTGGTGGTAGCAGTGTGGCTCAGGGTCTGGGGGCAGCCCCAGGCTGGCAAGGAGCACAGGGGGTCAGGACTAGGCAGCAGGTGGCTGCATTGGGCAATGGAGGAGCTGGCTGGGCCACAATGCTCCTTCAGCTGCCAAGCCAAGTGGCTAGGCAGCAGACAGGAGTGTGGCCCCCTGTTGGCTGGGCTGACTAGGTGCAATTTATATCCACATCAGTGTCTACACACATGTTGCTGCATAGTAAATAACTCTGCAGTAGGATAGTACTTGTATTTGAGTACTACCCTGCTGCAGAGTTTATTCATTTTCTGCAGCCTAATAGCATGGCACATGTACATGTGAGATGTTTACTGCAGAGCTAATTAGACAACTGTGCAACAAATGTCTTGTGTAGATGCCCTGGGAAGTTGAAACTTGTACCTCTAAGGAGTAATTAGGACTATGACATTAAGGGAAGTTTAGTTCTACAGAAGGAAGATAATGCCTTCACCACCACCTATCTTAGATTCGGAAGACAGATCTAATTTCTGTCAGCTCTGAAAATCCAATGGGCAAATGATTCTGCAGGGATAGCTGTATCAGCCCACTGCTCAGCTGCTTGCAGTGATCTCTTCCCACGTATTTATGGCTGTTATGCCCCCATCCCTTCTAGTGTGTGTATATTTTCCTTTCAAAAATATTTTTGATCTATACAGGTTGCCTATACCTTTCAAAAATATATAGAAAGGTAACCAATAATTATGAAAATGTAAAGAATGGCATTAAAAGAACTCCTAAGTCTACAGAACTCATGCTTCTTTCCCAACCACCTCATTCTTTTCCAGATATAGCTCACTATATAGGCCACACAGTGTACATGGACAAAATTATGGCCCCTCTACTGGAGGTATCCTTCCCTAGTATCGTAACTACTGGGGAGAATAGGGCATCAGCCTCAGGCACTAACTTAACGGTGGCACAAAAATAGCCACTGCTGCCCAGGGCACACAAGTGCTTAGATGTGCCTCTGCCCCACTCCCTGTTGAATAAAGGTATTCTTTTTGAGTCAGGTATCCCTGTTGCTCTTAACTATTGCGAGTTCAACACAAAGAGAAAGGTAATCTCTAAGAGAGAAAGTATGAAAGATTTACCAGCCATCTCCAATGAATTGCACCTGGAAGTTAGTTAAATAGAAACTCCTCTAATATCTACATAACACAAAATCATCCAATTAGACAGCTACATTTTATACTGCTTGAACTTTGAGTGGTTTTCTACAGCCCCACTGGAAGTGACAAGGGCATAGATGAAATTCACGAGGGTAACATCTGGCTCCCAGAGGAATCACAGTTATACCACATTTAATTGTTTGAATATCAAATCTCCAGTTCACAAGAAACTACATATTTCAAAACTTCCCCAAAATTGTGTTTTGGAAACACGAGCACATGGCTACAAACCCAGTTCCCTTTTAAATGAGCAAATAACATTTACATAGCAAAAGCTAACTGCGTAAGTGACAAGTAGAGTTATTTACTTAAATTTTAGATCCTCTACCCTGTTCCCCAATTTGTCTTGTCCTTCTGAGCATGCTGTATTGTGATCCTGTCCTGCAGGTATTCACGACTACAGACACAGCACACAATGAGGGAGCAAACCCCTTTTAATGATCCTTCAGGCTGGGCTATAATGGAGTAAAAGGCAGTGAACAGCTACACGTGCCATTTATTTGTTGAGTAGGCAGTGAAATATATCACCAGGAGAAACAGCAGCACAACAATCTTATTGGATCTGTTCCTTACTGGGTGTTACTCAAGTACTTGGCTTAACTCTGGTTTCTCTTCAGATCAGGTTGACTAGATGAGCAGATTTGTGATGTGCTACTTCACAGTTCACCTCACCGCTAAAATAATCTTTTATATGGTTGCAAAATATTGTGAAAAAACAACAGTGTTTCAACAGTAGTGGATCTAGGATTTTGAAAAGGGGGGGGGGAGGTGCAGATGGTAGGCAGTGGAAACCACACTGGATGTGCACTACACAGTCTTATTGGTATTAATACCATGCCAAGGAATCATAGTGGTGCAGTCACACATCCCCACTACACAATCTCTGGATCCACCCATGTTTCAATTGCTTTCTGTAAACTGCTTGAGACACTGACAATAAGTCTTGTGTACAATGCATAGACCCTCATTCCCTGGGAGAAGGTTATAGCTGTGTCAGAGTCCAAGGGCCTGGGTCTGTGGGCCCTTCCTCACTTGTGGTTCCATTGAAGACTCAAGCATTGCTAAAAATACAGACATCTTCCAGTAAGATATGCCATATTAACACTGGTTTGTAAGACTTGCAATATGGGTAAAATGAGTAATAGTTCCCAACTTAAAAGATTCAGATGCAGTTGTGCCTGTCTTTGTCTGCATTCATTTAGGCACTAAGACTTGAGAGACAAAGACAACCTCACCTACCTATTTGTAGAGTGCCTAGGGGTCCAATTAAAACAAACAATCAGGGATCCTGGCTTTTCCTGATAAAAATAAATAAATAAATCGCAAATTCTCTGATAAGAAATCCAAAATCCATTATTAAAATTAAAGGCCTCCCACAGCCTCCCTGGCTCTGCTGGTGCCCCTCACTCCCCCCACAAGAGCCCCCCTGATGCAGGCAGACACAGACCCCAGGAGGTAAGTGTGGGGGGGGGGGAAGGGTAGGGGAGATCAAGAAGGGAGGGATGTCTTGTGCCTACTCCAAGGAACAGGGCCAGGGGGGTGAGGACAGCGGTGCCCCTCTGCAGCTGCATACAAACAGGCTGCACATGGTGGCCACCACTGCACCACTGCCACACCCTGAGCTGCCATCCCACAGCCAGCTGCACAGCTCAGCGGGCAAGCTTCATGGCCATGGCTCTCCAGACAAGAGGTGTGGCAGCAGCAGCGCAGGGTGGTGGCAGCTGCATACCACCTGGCTGGCTAGCTGTGGGGGGAGGGGCTCTTACAGTGGCTGCCACCGCACCGGCACCATGGCTGCTACACCCTACATCACTTGCCTGTGGAGCCATGCAGGCAGCTGCAGGAAGGCAGCATGGGGCATGGCAGCAGCCATTGTGTGAACCCCCTGTCCACAGGTATGGATGCACAGGCAAGTGGTATGGCAGTGGCTGCCACATGCAAGCCCCCTCTCAACTGCCGGCCCGGCAGCATGCAACCACCACCGCCACCCTTCTTGCCTGTGGAACTGTGGCCATGTAGCTGTGTGGCTGGCCATGGGAAGGCAGCACAGCAGCGAGGTGGCAGCCATCACATGCAAGCCCCCCCCCACCAGCCGGCCAGGTGGCACGTGTACCAACACTTCGCTGCTGCTGTGCCCCTTGCCTGCAGAGCCGTGCCTGCAAAGCTGCTCAGCTGACCACGGGAAGGCAGTGCAGGGCACAGCAGCAACTTCCGGGTGCAAACCCCCCCAGCCAGCCGGCCAGCGC